TGTCGATTGGCTTTACTAGAACATTCATGCTGACGCTGTTTCCGAGGCAATCTCCTTCGATTCCGGTGAAAAAGTACTAAGCTTTCGTCCGTCATATGACGGACATCATCAGAACAAGGTGTCATCGTCACAACCAAATTCAAGCTAACGAGTCAAGAAAACTTGAATTTTGTTGTGACGATGGTAACTTGCTATGATGATATTCGTCACATGACGGACGATAGCTTAGCACCTTTTCACCGGAATCGAAGGAGATTGCCTCGGAAACAGCGTCAGCCTGAATCTTCCAGTAAAGCCAATTGACAGCTGGTCAAAAGGAACCCGCCATCGTCTTCTGATGGAATCGACTTTTGAGTCTCTTCACCAACCACTTTCACTCGACGTGGAAGTAAGCATAACAATTATGGTATAGTACTCTGGACAAGTCGTGTTCATCTAGGCATCTGACAATATAAAAAATTTGGAAAATGCGGTCAACTCACTTCTATGCAAGATAAAGAGACTGCGACTGTGATTTCCATACCTTCATTTTATTTGTATTTATTTGTTATATATTGATGTATTATTTAATTTTGCTAATCGTATTATAGATTAGTTGAATAATTTACTATTCTATCTTATCTTCTTGTTTTACTGGATCTCCTTTTTTCTCCTTTTAGCCGACGCAATATCGTGTTACTCATGCAACTCGGTGAATGGCAGCAACCAGCCATGCGAGGACCCTATGGACGGCTCGGTGGGCGTGGAGAAGCCCTGCATGCAGGGGATCTCGGACCATAAAGGTCTTTTCTTCGCGCGATTCTGCTTGAAAATCAAAGGCCGGCGGCAATCCGATGGTCAGTTGTTGGTGATGCGACGATGCTCCATGGAGAAATTGGCCGACATCATGACACACTGCGGCGAGTTCAAGTTGAACGAGGATCTCTACTCGGGCTGCATAGCCACTTGCAACAAGGACTGGTGCAATGCCGCACCTCCGACCTCTTCACCGACGGCCCGAGGAATGGTACCATTGGCTCTGGCCTCGCTGGCCTTCCACTTTGTTGCTTAGCCGGCCGGCTCCCTGGTGATGGATCGTGGACAAATTGTGGAATCGAGATGCCCGGCGACGCCTCGCCAGAACTCGGACCATCAAAAGAGAGAAGTCCGTTTCCTGTTGACATTTAGACAACTGCTGCAGCTTTCGTTGATGCCACTGCCCCTCCGCTTCACTTATTTCGCCCAGCCTCCTGCCGAGGTCTCAAGTCTCTTGTTGGCTTCAAGGGCCAGCAAAAATCTTGTCTCAGCACAGTGACTCGGCCGCTGTGAAACTTGTTCATCCTTATGTTTTGCTCTGTACTGAGACCATACCATATTTCATAGCCTATGGAATATACAGAATGGCCTGGAGCCACTCTGTGATGTAACCATTCAACTTTTAAAACTTTTACGTATGCTATTTTTGGGTGAATCACATGCTCTAAACGAATCCAGATTTAAAGGTCAGATGGCGGCAAGCAAATGAGCGGTGTATATGACGTAAAACAGGGTTTCGCAGAATCCCTCGAGGATTGGGTGTCACTCGGTTTTTCATATCAAAGGGTAAGTTGGTTGGGAGAGACCTCATCCGATGACTCAGGAGGGACACATCGCCATGAAGATGGTTGGACGGTAGGAAGCTGCCTTTTATTCACCGTCTATGCTTAGCTTTCGTCAGTCATGTGACAGACATTGTTAGACAGAGCAAATAA